CCAATCAACGCGTACCCGAATATGACGTAGGCAAGGACATGCGCAAGCTGAACGAGTTTTAGACAATTGATGAGCATACCCTTGTATTTTTATCATGATTGCGACGTAAAATTCTAAACGTTTGATTTTGATCTGGATTTAAAGATACGTCGTTATTGTCATTATTATTACTATTATTGTCATCGTCGTCGACCAGGAAAAATGTACGTCTCGTTTTTTCGATAATAGATGGCTTTTGACTTAACTAAGCGATGGCAGCATTGCACATTCGAACGTGATCAACCACGTATGACGGCTGTGATAATCAGCGATGGCAACATTGTCACATATACGATGTGATATAATTGATATACGATGTGATATAATGACGTGTTATAATTAATTAATTCAAATTAAAATTAATAAAATGAATTAAAATAAAATATTAATTATAATTAAAATAAAATATCGAAATTGTCATTGATGAAAATCTAGGTATTCACCGCGTCGAGGAAGAGGGTGTACAGATATTCAAGAATTAAGCGTCTAGGACTCTAGATGTTCGTCGGAATTAAGCGTCTAGATATTTGTTGTCGAGGAAGTGGATGTCTAGGTCGAAGAAATTAGTGTCTAGGTGATCGCCATCGAGGAAGTGAGTGTCTAGGTGTTCGCTATTGGGGGAATGGATATCTAGGTGATCGCCGTCGAGGAAGTGAGTGTCTAGGTGTTCGCCGTCGAGGAAATGGGAGTCTAGGTGTTCGCCGTCGAGGAAGTGGGCGTTTAGATGTTCGCCGTCGAGGAAGTGGGTGTCTAGGTGTTCGCCATCGAGGAAATGAGTGTCTAGGATTTTGCCGTCGAAGAAGTGGGTGTCTAGGTGTTTTCTACATGTTCGCCGTCGAGAAAGTGGGTGTCTAGGTGTTCACAATTGAGGAAATGGGTGTCTAGGTGTTCGCCGTCGAAGAAATGGGTGTCTAGGTGTTCGCTATTGAGGAAATGGGTTTCTAGGTGTTCGCCGTTGAGGAAATGGATGTCTAGGTGTTCGCCGTCGAAGAAGTAGGTGTCTAGGTATTTTCTACATGTTCGCCGTCGAGGAAGTGGGTGTCTAGATGTTCACTATTGAGGAAATGGGTGTCTAGGTGTTCACTATTGAGGAAATGAGTGTCTAGGTGTTCGCCATCGAGAAAATGGGTGTCTAGATGTTCGCCGTCGAAGAAATGGGTGTCTAGGTGTTCGCTATTGAGGAAATGGGTGTCTAGTTGTTCACCGTCGAGGAAATGGATGTCTAGGTGTTCGCCATCGAAGAAGTGTGTGTCTAGGTGTTTTCTACATGTTCACCGTCGAGGAAGTGGGTGTCTAGGTGTTCGCTATTGAGGAAATGGGTGTCTGTTCGCGTTGCTCGCACTTAGCATCTTCGTTCTTTCTCTTTTCAACGCCTGAATATATGTTTTTCCGTTTTAAGTACAAATATTTTGGAGATTTCAAGCAATGCGAACAAACTTATTATCGCTCACAGAACACTAAGCTTTTGCATCTGATTAACATATTCCATTAGATCTAAAAATATAAATCAAACAAGGTACAAGAGCTCACTGAGCGCTCACTGAGCGGCAATACATCTAGGCTGTTTTCCAAAATTCACTGTCCATGCTAACAATGTATAGTATACGTAACGTAAATTGTAGATTTTCAGCGCTGGCAGTGAATTTTGAAACACAGCCTGGATACACTCTGGCTGCGTTCTGGGAGACACTATAGAACAGCTGGACTTTCAAAACGAATTACTATTAAAATTGGAGCGAAAGTTATGATAAGACGTAATATTGATACTAGTTTGGGTCTTGTAAATAGTACAATTGCTACAGTTATATCAGTTATACAGGATGAAACTATAGAAAAAATAAAAGTTCTTTTACCGTCTGGTTTATAGTATTTTATTGAAAGAGTAAATGTTAAGTTTCCATTGATGGATAGAGTTTACGTTATAAGCAAACAATTTCCATTGTGTTTGAGTTATGGAATTACCATACATAAAAGTCAAGGTTTGAATTT